TAAAGTAACATACATTAATCGCATTTAGTAAAGGTTCATTAATTTATTTAATTCAATATTTCTCTTAAAATGGAATATTTCACTATGAAATTGTTATAAAAAATTTAATTACGAAAATATTATGATTTCATTATAAAATTATTGTAAAGTATTTCATATTTTATTTCATTACAAAATATTTAATATTTTTGTATTAAATTTTTATAAATATTATAATGAAATATTTTATAATTCTGTAAACAAAAATGTCGTAGATATGCTTGCAATAAAAAATCCTGTCTCTTTCAGTGATATCATGAAATAAGTTATTCTAATGCAATTTCTATTTAAAACAGTATAATGAAAACTAAATGAAAACTAAGGTTTCGTTTCCCTTCATTACACAATTTATTCATTAATTTCGAAATCGTTTAATGAGCTGCTGATATTAATTTGTCGGATTGTATCGAAACGAAAAAGGTGTTTGAAAAATGTCGATTTCACTGTCCGAAATCCAACGTTTATCCCTGTGACGTGGGAAATTTGATTGCTGATTGCCTGACAGATGTTCCCCTAAACTGCTTGTAACTGGTCGGTTTCTGGCAAAAAATTTTGGCGGTCCCAGGTATAAAACACAGGAAACGCATTTCCAGGTCGCTTAATGATGACGAACGACCCTGGTTATTATCATGGCGGTGTTCGCGGGACAACGACGGGCAAAAAAACCATTCGTTTAAATTAAGAAGTTGATTCGGATTTAATGGTCTTTTGTTCGGCTTGGTTGGAATACGCAGTCCGCGCCTCAACCCCCTTTAGTTTTTTGCGATTCAGCTCTCTTCTTTGCTCTACTTTTGTTATTTTCGCACGTGCTATGAGCCGCAACATTGTGTTCCCGCGACGTCAACCAGTATATTATGCAATAATTCTTATATTTCCGTTTGTCCTGTTGTTGTATCTCTTCCAGTCGTCGATGTTGAGTGTAAATTCTGTGAGTTGCTCTTTATTGTTTTCCGTTTACGTTGAATGAACGTACAATCGATTTTTCGTTCATAAGAATTTGACAAACGTTATCAAACTCTTTGATGGAAGTTGTAGATATAATAATTGTCGCAGTAATTGTCGCAATGTGTGAAGTGAAGAGTGCTCTATATGTTTATAGTGAGTTATTAAGATTTCGTACTGTGAAGGCGTCTATTGTTTTATATATTGATTTTTTGTGTGTCTATATTTTATTGTTCTGATGTCATTATGTTAAATTGTACTCCAAAAATTCTGTTGTTTAATTTGAAAACATTATCACCCCGTCGAACAGAATTTATCAGCAAAGTTCTACAATCTTTCTATTTTCGCCTAGATTATCAAAATCGTCGTTTAATTGCTTAGTTTCTGGGAATTAAATTGAATAATTCACTGTTACATTGGGAATTATAGAAAGGCCGATATGTTTACAAGAAGTATTATTAGAAATACGTTTAAAAAGTCGATAAATAGAGCCGTTAATAGTTAATAGATGCACAATTGTGAAGACGAATCCTGATACATTCATTTTTAAGGAAAATGAATATCGAAAGTATGTGCAACTGGAAGAAGTTGTCACGATTATCGGGAATACAACACGAATACTTAAAATTAGAGGTTCTAGTAATTTATATTGAACACTGCTTTAGAGGGAGTTGTATTCATTAAGTAAATAGTACATAAAACATAATACAAGAAATTGTCTTCATGATTTGTTATGTACAACTGCGAAGCAACAAATAATAAGCATTGTTAATTTCTTTTTTTTTGTTACATATAACATAAATATTGCGTTTCGAATCATATCGTATTTATCTCGACAAAGTACAATATTTTATCTATCAGTTGACAAAACGTACGAAAATTTCTCTACGTCAACGTGTCAAATGTGATTTCACTTTGTTGTCGTTCAAGATGGTTTATCCGCCAAGAGCGTTACAAGCTTGTAAGCATGCGGATAGCAGCTGTGCTAGGGATAGTCTGTGTAAATTTATCTAAATTCTGGTTATATACACCGACGGTCGCGTTTGCTATGCGCGATATAGCTTAATCCTTGCAAAAAGGCGAGCTCGGCTCAAGTGGATCAAGCGAACATTACTCGGACGCGCAGTAGTGTATCCACATCGACGAGTGCCGCGTCGTTTGTCGACGATTCGATCCACTCACTCTAACATGGACGTACTAAGTCTTTGTCCCGAAAGTTTACATGGACATACCGGCGACAAATTTTACGTTCTATGCTACTTATGAATTCATGAGTCGTATGCGTATGCCTGATCACTGATAAAATGAGAATGAAATTTTTCATGACACTGAAGACACAATTTTATTGGAAACTGATATCACTTTTACACGATATCCACTTTTATTATTTTATTTTATTTATTTCAACATGCTTTGAAACAAGTTTATATAACAATATTGTTACACGACATTCGGCTGATATGTGATCTTTAAATTCTTCAAGAAACATTGTTTAAGAAAGATATCAATAATTTTCAGTCCTTCACGTATGGAAAAATACGAGAAAATACGGAAACTACAGTTCTTCTTTTATGGTCGTTAAATCCATTGCCGGCAGTACGATTAACTTGTGATGGGAGTTTAGGCGAGGTCAAGATCGGACTTTTCTATTATAGAGGATGAGGGAAGAGATTAGCTGCAAGTAGCTCTCTTCAGATCAAATCGAAAGCTTTCGGAGGCTGTTACGACAGCATTTTCTTTGCTCCATCCTTTTCTGTCTTACCATGAAAAAGTTTCATTTAATATCACGCAGATTCATCGGATCCCGAACGATTATTATTTTACTGAATTCATAGAACCGATTCAGAGAAAATTTGTTTATTTATTGACCAGCAAACATGCAAATGTATTTAATGCAAAATATATTGTTGTCTGAAAATGTGTTTAATACATTGCCGTCGGAAAGTGTATTTAATACATTGCTGTCTGAATGTGTGTTAAATATACATTGATGATCAGTAAGAAAGGAAGACGTGTTTGTTATTCAAGTTGCAGCTGTTAGTCGCAAAATGCAACAAAATTGTTCAAAAACCACATGATTCAAAGACTTCAATTTTTCGTTATAAATAACAACTACAATTGACCGAAATTTTCTTCTTAGCCAATAATTATCATTGATGATGGAATTCTTATTTTGGTTACTTATAATAGTTACCGATGAGAAGGATTTATTCCAGTTATTCATAACAGTTATCAACGAAGTGAACTTATTTTAATAGTTCATAAAAGCCATCGATAAAAGAAATTGGATCAGCAATCGAAATCTATTTCCCCCGTCGATAACTGCCATAAGTAGGCTACGAATTTTATGCATTTCCAATGTAAATTAATAGGTTGAATGCAAAACTGTGAAGACATTAGAAGAATTTTAGGATATTGTTACACTATTTTCAACTCATTACTATTATTGAAAATGAAAACCAATTTTCATCTTAGTTATATTTCTTAGACTTCTTCAATTAATTTCTAGGATCGAATTATCTGCAATTAACTAAACAAAGTACTTGATAAATGGCAACAGGTCATTGCAAATAATGGCCAATATATAATCAGTTGGGATACCGTTATATTCGCTTCATTGATAAATCAAATTTGTACATTGAAGCAGGAGACATTTATAATTTGATCGCGCGCGCGCGCGAATATATTTCCTATTACAATTCATATCCCCCCCCCCCCCACACACACACACACACAAAATGTGTGAATGAAATAATATCTCGAAATAATATCTCTGTCTTGCAACCATTTCACAAGTGACTACGATCGTAGTGCAAACCAGGTGCACAGCTGGTAATTATAGTTTGCCTTCAGTTCCATAGGCGTTAAGTGTAGATTAATACAGCAAATAAACGTATTATTGCATATGTATACGGCGTAATGTCAGTAAGCAAGAAAATATCTACAAACGTTTTCGCATGGAACGTGAAATATTGTACATAATTTGTAGTGTCATGTGGGTCCCGAAAATGTTGGGAACAACCCGGTGTTTGGTTGCGTAAATTAGGTGAAAACAGAGAAGAGTTAGGATACAATATAAATTTATTGTGCAATCTATCATCGTTTAATACTTCGTGAAACACGGTTAGAAGAATCTGTTATTAAAAACTATCTAAAACTAAAAATTTGTATTTGTTGTGACGTATTCTCGAAACTAGGATCAGTAGGATTATTAGTCGGAGTAGATGGGACATATGATCATTATTATGTCAAAGAGATGACATTTCTTGAGGCTGTAACCGTCACTTCAATTTATCACCGAACTTCAAGTCGGCGACTGAACCGTCGCTTTACTAATTCGAACATGTGTTTGTTCCTGTTCCAGTGCTTGGCAGTTGCCGGAGTGCAGACACGAGTCAAGAGTGTGGGCCCGATAGGTTGGTGAAGTGTGGAAGACCTCTCGAAAGAATCAACAGTAACGACTTCAGCTTCGCGACTACAAAAGAGCGCTTGCATGAGCGATGCCCGTAAGTTTTCTTGAGTTCGTATAAAAGGAAGCCGTGTTGCACCGACAACTTGAAGTTTTTGTACTGTGAAGCCGGTTTTAGTAAAAATGAAATTCGAAGAAAATATTTCGTAGAACAAGTAATCGATCGTATCCTTCTCGAGTGGAAATTCGCATTCTGTTTCAGGTAGATACTACAAGTTTATTTTATCTCTATCATTCTCAGTCGCAGTTTCAGGTATTGAAAGTACGATAAATGTGATTTCAAGCACTATTTCTTCTTTGGCATTTTCGTTACTAAAATGAAATCGATATTTTTCGTCTAATCAAAAGTAAAAGAGGTTTGACTATTTCATTCAAAAGGGTGACGTGGGAATTAAAATCTATTCATAGTGAAACTAGCATTCCCATACATTTCGGAACAAAAGCTTTGATGAAGCAGTTGCATCTCGCACAGGAGCTAAATGTGACCTGAGAATAACAAGAGACTTGAATTACTCGGGATCTGAAATAGCATTCCGCTGTTTTTGTCAAAATCAATTTCAGTATTTCAATGAAATTAAAGCGGCTCAAAAATCGTCCGAATTATACAAAACAAATTTCTGTTATCAATCGACCATTTTACTTTATCTTGTCCAAAACATAATGTGCTACATAAAAAATATAAAATAGGAAAACACACTGCAAGATAACTTTAACAAGGAAAAAATACAAAACTTGCTCGTAATACTGTAATAATATCCGTTCTCGACGTTAATAACCACGCAGTTGATGCGATGTAAAAAAACCTTTAATTATGAAAAAAAATGTTTGTCTGTTTGACGTAACACGTAATCGATAACATAATGCTAAACTGCTATTTAAAGTCGTACCTCGTGAGTAGATTGCGGGCCTGCGAGCAAATGAGCATCTTTAGAAACTATTTCTGAATAACCATAATTAGTTAGCAATTTATATTTGTCGCAGAGAATTTGATTTGGCTACAATTAAGTTGATTAAACGACAGACGTCAGATCTAAAATAGTTGATCGCCTCTAATTCTCTCTCCTGTACAGTTGCATTTTGTTCGTTATTACTACAAGTACTATGCAAGTTTATGTTTAAGTCTCTGCTTTGGAATTCTGATTTTTGTCCGCAGTGCGGGGATATTCGGAAACTGTAGGAGAACTACGCGAAAGTTTTTGATCGAGCTACTGTTGAACTTCACCATGAGCCACGAAAATTCTTGCTTCCTCAATGTCGTTAGAGTTTGAGTGGTTTTGCTACCTGGTTTTTCGATTCGATTGCACCCATAATTAGATCGATCAACGGAACTTTAGTAGGAGTTAAAGCCATTTTCGAATAGGTAATTTGCCAGGTTTATTGATTCTTCGTTTATTTTCGCGGTCCTGTAACTCAGGAAAACAAGTTCGAGTACCGCAAGGAAACTCTAACAAGTCTCTTAACTAATTACCAGGTGGTTAGTGGAATGTTAGTCTAATGGTTAGTGGAACGAACAGTTACGATATTTTTTTGGAGTTTCGAATATTGTTTTATTTGTTGTACGGGTATATAAAATTCTTCTTAGAAATAGAAATGAAATTATTTCGAAATAATACGTTTTTAATTACGTTTAAATACGTTTTTAATCACATGTTTGGACCGTATTTTTCCCATTAATATTATATTATTACTCCGTAACAAGACAAATTTGAAATTCATTAACAGAATTCCTTATGTTGATGACAATTAATTTATTCTGGCAGTTTAATTGGATCATATTAAATCTCATTTGTATCGGGTGCGCAAATATTTTGTTGAATACCGAAATCAATTAATTCACAGTTCACTGCACGAGTAAGTGAGCTGTTGATCATCATCGTCCAATTCATTATTACGTTTTTAACATTCTTAATGTAAAAGTTAAGTAAAAAAAATTGCACAGAAAAATCCATCCGTCAACAAATTAATGGAAGTATTTGTACAATCTTTAGGGCTTATTAAATTACAATATTAAATAAAACAACTGTGGAAAGAGAAATAATCTTAATGTCTACACACTTAGCAATTATTAAGAATAGTTACGAAATACTGTTCAGGTTATTTTTTTAAAAATAGGAACACGAATAATGTTGTCAATTACACCTTTGATGATTTTGCGAAGGCCAGTAGTAGATACAATTAATGCATTGTGCTAATTTATACAGGTCCTTAGCTAATTCAATCAATTACGGTTACAGTGACAGAGAATTTAACAGTTGACAAAAGAATAATTCGTACGCGAATATTGAAAAAAGAAATTTCTACTTCCGAAATCGGGCAACATAACTGTTTACAGAGACGGTACCTGGCCGTTCATATCGAAAAAGTGATCGATGCGAAAAGTATTCGGACAGCGTTCAGCAAATTTTGGGAACTCTGTGAAATCAACCGGCAGAACGATAACGTGTTCGTCTGTGTACATAAAATGTTCGAACGTAGGACGATTGCGCGAGATTTTCCGAGTCGTCCAGGCCGTTTCGGAAAACCATAAATTCTCGCGACTAGGAAATCCTGCCGTGATTCCTAAACCCTTTTCCGCAAGCACGAAACGCGGGGCCTCGATATTACCTGAATATCACATAAGAAATTACATTATGGGATAATCGTAATATCTTATCAACGGCAATATAACCTTCGTTTTATACTGTAGCCGGGCAGAAAGATACATATAATCTTTTATTATAATCTCCGCTATTTAAACTTCGAGTAATATTGTTAAATTCTGTGTTGTCGCCTCTACTCAACTTAGTTCTCCACTTTTTAAATAGTACATAGCTACTTCATTTTTCAATATCTATCTTCCTCCCTCTTTCATTTTTTCTGATAATTTTATTCAGTCTACAATATTAATATCTTAACTAGCTTTAATTTCTTATTGCTAAATCGAGAATATAGAGAATCATAGAATACAATATTGCATAAAATGTAATATGATGCATTTTCATTTTCTTTCTTAGTTATTTATTATTTAAAAGAAGAAGAATATTTGTTATTCATTATTTATTAGTTAATAAATAAACAAAACTCGTTGTTTATTATTGAATAGACGAATTAGATTCGTTATTCGTTATTCAAATAAGTATTCATTGCAACAATTCTCTACGCTGGCTCAACAGAACTCAGTTGGTTCGATGTCTGAGAAATTCTTACCTTTACTACTTAGACTCGCACGACTCGGTAATATAGTCTTTCGCCTTAATATTTTTGTAACCATTGTGCATTGTTTCAGTTAATTTGACCTAAAAGCTTCCAATTATAATTTTGTCCTACTAAAATATTCATATGCAGTGGTGTGCATAATTATAGACTCAAAGTAGCTTCTACATTGTTACCGATATCTAAACAAAAACTTACAAACAAAAAAAACAAAATATCATATTTCTATCCTTTATTTTTAATATGAAAATATACAAATATGGTGTTTTGTTAAGTTTTTGTTTAAATATCATTAAAAATGTAAAAGTTACTTCGAGTCCAGCTCAGCTGGCGCGAGGCGACCGAGCCAACGGCGCCAGCGGTCGAGCGGTCGAATCCAGCTCAGCTGCCGCGAGGCGGCCGAGCCAACGGCGCCAGCGGTCGAGCGGTCGAATCCCAGTTCCGCTGATTGGCTCGGTCGCCTCGCGCCAGCTGAGCTCGTTTCACGTTGGTCACAGTTTTTCGTTAATAACTCGTTAACGGTTCCTCGAAAAAAAATTTTGTAAAGGAAAAAGTTGCTTCAAATGGCCTGAGGAACCCGCCACTTTCGGATTGCGAGACATTTTTGGGACACCCTGTATATACAGTTCACAGACTCTGTACAGTACACATCAGACTCTGCCGTCCAGAGAAATAGCCTCGCGCAGAATTCAGCC